GGGTCTTCGCTAAAACGCACCAGAAAAAGCTCAGACCTTCCACGACAATCCAAACGGCTGCGCAGCAAGAAATGAGAAACTCAGTGTGTCATTTAGCTCAAGTTATTTTGATTTTTAAGGTCTGACGGATCACATCTTAAACCCAGTGCCCAGAGTTATCAGCCACTCCACCAACACACTTCCTGTATACTGTCTCACACACAGCGCTGACACCACCCGCTGCGCTGTGGGATAATTCTCTGCTGTCCAAAGCACTGAACCCTGAACGTCATCCAGGACTTTGCACGTGGTTAGGTTTGTCGTTACAGAACTGTTAATGTCTGACTTTCCTTTTGTTAAAGACTCGCCTAATAATACGTTACTATGTAAACACGTCACTAGTTTATAGTTTCACCTTTGAAAAGGTCATTCTCAGCTACTCCGCGCTGTAGTTTCTACTTTGAGCAGTGGATTACTCCACATGTGGCGGTGTAGTGAGCACCATTTCAGGCAGTGGACTGAGTCAGACTACAGTGTGACCTAGGGTGACAGAGTGACTTGCTGATGATTTATCACTACCTGCATGATAATGTAACTCTATAGAAGACATTAGGCTTTGGCTACACAATGTTTTTTCTTATGCTCCATTCATCAGTGTCCTGGTTCTGCACATAGGATTTGTTGGCAAGTCCTTGCAAGGCTTCTGAACCACTTAGATCAATAAGGGTATAGGTGGGTGGCTATTTGCCTCTGAAAAGGTTGTTTATTAAAGGTTTCATTGAAATCACTGTACTCTCAAATGAAGATGCTTATATTTGCAGCCTTATATTTGGAGTCTTGTTAACAGAAGTCACCTTGCACATGTGATTTAATGCATTTCCTGTTTGTTAAGAAAATGTTCATATTTGTCATTTTGGGAACATAAACTACTAAAGGATATCGATGAAAACAGGAAGTGCGATGCTCCTGGAACAGCCTAACTGCGGTTGCATGTTGTTAGTAGTTAGTGATCGTCACAGGGGTCTAAATCAGTTGCAGCAGCTTCTTCCTAAGTTTGGCTAAGTGCAATATGAATCGATGAAAGTGATTTATTTCCTTTTAGTAGCTCGCTTTTTCTTTTTCTTTTTTCAAGAGCTGCTGCTCAGATGAGTTTATTTTGATGAATTCTTGAATCGTCATGAAAAGCACGGCTGAAAGGAGGAGAAAGCCAAACTGTCCTGTATCAGCTCTTTGGGGGGGATATGCATCAGCTTGTCTTTCCACTCTTTACCGAAGCAGCAGTGAGCACAGGAGCCGTGCTGAATATGAAAGCAGTCATGCGTTTGAAGCCCCTCGTGTCCATATTTGGCTGTTATATGATGCATTACTGTATGAGCTGTGCTGAGGATAAAAATACTATAAAACTGACCTTGATGGCAAACTGGTGTTTTGCATCTGTTCTCTGAATGACGTGAGAAGCCTGATATGATCTTCAAACATTCTGCATATTCACTATACACAGTATGTGCTCCAGTACAGGTCAGAGTTTTACCTTGGGGGGGTTCATTGTGTAGTCTGTCCTGACTGCACAAACTGGAGACACACAAGGCCTAACTTTGGCAGGCTTGCACAA